TTTTTTTTTTTTTTTTTTTGTGGGCCTTTTTCTCCCAATATATGACAAGAACTTAACCAAAAAAAATTATATCATATTTGGCCAAGCTTCTAAAATTAACTTATTTTGAACAGTATTTTTTTGTCAAAGTATTTTTTAAAATTATATTTTAGTAAGAAGCAATTTGTGTTTAACTAATTAATTCGAAAAGTATTTTTGAGCAACAATTAGTATTTTGTCAAGCTTTTATAAAGCATTTTTTCAAAAGTATTTTTGGAAAGAAGTTATTTTTTCTGATTCTTAAAATTATTTATGCTTCTTTTCAAAAATATTTTTTTTTCTTCTAAAAATTTGGCCAAACATATTAACTTGGGAAAAAAGTATTTTTGTCAAAAAAAAAAAATTGGCCAAACAGACTATTAATTTATTACAACTAAATTAAGAAGAGAGTAGTGGAGGGGTTTAACTAGATAACTTCTTTTGCAGAATTGAAATTGTAATCTCTTAACTATTGAATTATTCTCCTGAAAGCACATAACAATGCATACTTTATAGGAGTACTAAACTTAAAATGCACATTACGACTTCCTCATTAGCCAATGCGGTAACCATGCAATTTAAAAGGAAACTTAATTTATATGGGTTTACAAGTAAAATAAACATAAATTAAAATTGACATTGAAATAATAAAAGGCCAGATGTTTAATAAAGAATACATATTAAAATGTTTCTTTTCTTAAAAAGATGGAGTAAAAATGTTCTCTTTAGACAATAATTGTAGCTGCAGGGGCGTTCACATAGAACTAGCAAAAAGTGAGGGAAAAAGTTTAGAGTAAGTGGTCTAATTGAAACTTGAAAGGCGCCAAAATCGCTACTATTACTTTGAAAGACATTTGATTTGATTTGAACCTGCGTACCAATAATTTCAAATTACAAGCTCTTTTAAATTAAAGCTAAGTCGAGGGCCACTACTTCCTTTTGTTACTAATATATTGTATTGTTTCTTATTATTAATACAAAAATGACCAAGTCTGTTTCATATCTAAGGATGATCTAATTCGAAAACTTATGAATTGGCTTGAGCTTTCTTTTATATTTCTCCCCTAATCATTATAGTCTTAGGGACAGCTAACGACATAGGAAAACATGCCCCTTTGTAAACAAATCAATATTTATAATCTCTAATGTAGAATTTGCTTTTAAATAATTAGGCCACGGGTGCACCCTCAAGCCACCAACCGCAACGTAGAAATTAATTATCTTATGATCCACCATAACACATCTATCTAACACACACGGATGCTAAAACATAGTTTGCAAACTTTGCATATATGCACACTTTTTTTAGTAATAGCTGTAATAACAATAACAAGAATAATAAATAATAATAATAACAACAATAACAATGAAAATAAATATGAATTTGCACGAAAGTCTCTAGCTTATTAATAGGAACATCTTGTAAGTTCTTTAAATTTGTTGAAATTAATATTTTAATATTTCCATTTTTGGGTCGTCATTACTTTCGGGGAATTAGACAATTAGTTTTTTTTCATTTTATTACGAGTATTTTATCATAAAAATTACCAGTAATAGTGCTTTTGTATAGCTTTTAATTAACATGTAACTAATAATAAACAAATCTGATTCCACTTTGAAATTAGATGTTTTGAGTCTTTTGACTATATCAAATTTCGAATAGGACATTCATTTTTTAAGTGTGGGAAGTACAAAAGAAAATTGTTTGAATCACAACAAATACCACAATAGGTGCATTATATATTCTCATTTAAATTATACCAAAGCTTTGATAGACAAAAGTTATCCAATAATTATACTAGTAAGAACTTGCATATATTTGGTGGATTAATTTAGGTGTGCATTAACTGATCCCAACCTTTAGACTTTTATTGAAATGTTGGAATTATTTTCATTTAAATTTTACCAAAGCTTTGATAAACAAAAATTACCTGATAATTGTACTAATGAGAAGTTACAGATTTTTAGCGGATTAATTTAGGTGTACATAAATTGATCCCGACATTACTATTATTAAAAACACTAGATCCCATATTATGTCAACTCGATATTGTGACATGTGGCAAACATATACTCAAACATTGTACATGTTATAAACGAAGTTGGAAATCACAGAAAATATATTTCACGAACAAGGAAAGAAACAATATTCCTCTAGAGGATGATGTTTTATCTAGCACGGTACTATTTCATGAACACAGTGGTAGATGGTACAAAGATATATATTATGTTCCATTTGTATGAATTCATTTTGAAGGCAAATGAGTTGTGAAAGGAAACATAATTAATGTGTGTCACAGCAAATAGGTTAGAAGTGCTAATCCATAATTATTTCCCACCTAACCTAACCACATTATATTCACCATTATAGCATAACTATGATTAATAACTAAACAATTTGCCCTTTTACGGTTTTACCATTCAAGTGGTTGATTCTTCTTTTAATCTTTTATGTTCGATCGACCCACTAAAGATGATGATAGATCAGTTTAACTTATTGAAGCAAGAATATAATGTGATGGTGATGCATTACTTTTATGAGGGACTGTACCTTCTTGCTTCTGCATATAAACTAGCTACCTCATACTAAATGCTGCCAGAACTTTTCTTTCCTATGAAGTGAAAGCAATAAGTATAAAGTTGAGAAAGTTTTTAAGAGTCGTTTGCTTGGGAAAGCAATAAGTATAAAGTCGAGAAAGTTAGACAAAGTTTTTAAGGGTCGTTTGGGAACAAGTTATTGCGAGATTATAATGATAGAATCATTTATTATAATAATACGAGGATTAAATAGTAATGAAATTATTTAATTAGTGGATATATTTTTATTAGAGATGTTTGGTTTATTGGACTAAAATAGAATATACAGGATATAATATAAAATATGTGTTTGATATATACTAGATAAGTTGAGATAAACTTTTATTTTCAATTTTAACCTTTGAATTTTTTAAAGGACTTCGAGGGAAGAACCATGGAGAAAGTCATTTTTGTCACTGTAACGTTTTATTCCGGAATTACTATTGTCCTACTATCAATATGGATAGAATAATATCATAATTGTAGTATAAATTGATCCTAAAATTGCTAATTATATATTCAAAAATTCAATCAAACACGGAATAAAATAATTTCATATTTAATCCCAGAATTTACATAGAAATAGGAAGTTTTAAGGAGTAAGAGCTAATTTTAGGGGTAAATTTCGTAAATGATGACACTAATCATGATTTTTGTCTCAGAAATTTAACAAGAGTAATACACACGTTGAGACAAACTTTGGGGTGAAGATTTGGAGATGCGACATGTTGAAGATTATATGAAGAAGGTGGATCAAGTTTAATTTTTCAGAAAATTCACGCTAAGGAGGAGAATTGTTAGGTGTTTGTCTTGATTTTCTTACCATATTTGATTTTCCTATCCCTTAAAGGGAGGACAACATATTTACCATAATTGAATTTTTTTTTCTAGAAGGAAATTATAATTCTTCCATATTTGGTTAGTCCCTTTTCTTGGAGGAGAATGTTTTAGACTTATATAAATTGAGGATCCTTCCTTCTCATTCGGTAGCATCTACAATATAGTTATAAGGGGTTTGAAATTCTTGTTTAGGGGGAGAATTTCGTGATAAGTATTAGTCTGCCACTTGTGATTGCCTCTTTGTAAGGTTGTTCTCTCAATATGTTGTACTCTCTTTTACATAATAGATTGCTCATCTCTGCCTGTGGACGTAGGTCAATTGACCGAACCACGTTAAGTGTTTGTGTCTCTTTTAGGATATTTCTCTTTTGTTGTCTGATTTATCGTTGTTCAAGTGTTGCTTTACTAGTTTCCGCACGACACCTGATATTTTCGGTCCTAACAAGTGGTATCAGAGCAAGGTTCGAGATAGGTTTATCTTGGTGGGTTTAGTTCTAGTCGCAACCTATTTGACGGTAATCATGATTTTTGTCTGAGAAATTTGACTGGAGTGATACTCATGCTGAGTCAAACTTTGTGGTGGAGATTTGGAGATGCGACTCATTGAAGATTATGTGAAGAATGTGGATCAAGTTTATTTTGTTAGAAAATCCAGGCCAAGGGGGAGAATTGTTAGGTGTTTGTCCTGATTTTTTTACCATATTTGATTTTTCTATTACTTAAAGGAAGGACAACATATTTATCATAATTGAGTTTTTCTTTTCCTAGAAAAAAATTATGATTCTTCCATATTTGGCTAGTCTCTTTTCTTTGAGGAAAGGGTTTTAGGCTTCTATAAATTGAGGATCATTCATTCTCATTCAGTAGCATCCATAATGTAGTCATAAGGAGTTTGAGAGTTTTGTTTAGGGGAAAAATTTCGGGTTTGTGAGGTTGTTTTCTTGATATGTTGTACTCTCTTTTATATAGTGGATTCCTCATCTCCGCCTGAGAACGTAGGTCAATTGACCGAACCATGTTAAATGTTTATGTCTCTTTTGAGAAATTTCTCTTCTGTTGTCTGATTTATCATTGTTCAAGTATTGCTTTATTAACTTGCATATGACACCTGATTTTTTCGGTCTTAACAACTATAATATTATTTTTTTCGCATCTCAATCACATAACTTTATTTTATTAGTTATTTCACTTAGGTTATCAAATGGTCACAATAGCCGAAAAATATAACTTCC